GAAACAGTCTATAAAATCAGTTTAAATAGCTTTCTAGGGACACAATGTTCAGAGTTTCAATTCTGTTACTCATAGGCTTGTCTTTGCTTAGTTTTCAAAGTGTTTTGGCTGCTGTGGCATAGACATAATGTGATTCTGTTTGATCGCTCATATGTTTTATTTCTGCTATCCATAAAGGCTCTGAAGTCTGATTCATTGGTGGTTAGTTATTACATGCAGGTAATTGTTAAAGTTAAATCCATTTAGATTAGAACCATTTAGATTAGAACCTCTGAGAGTACAACTGCTACCCCCGGAATGCCGCCCCTGCAATTGTGCTGCCCCAAGCACGTGCTTGGTTTGATGGTGCCTAGAGCCAGCCCTGGATATATGAAATGTTTGTTTTTTCCTAGTAGTCACTCAGGACTATAATTCTCCTATCTTTAAAAAAAGCAGTTTTTTGTCTATCAATTCACCCAGTAAAGTCCTGGCTGAAATCAATGGGAAAAAAAGAACATTGACTTTAATGAGGCCACCCATGAAGTTTCCTTTTCATCCTGCTAATGGAGAAGAAGGAAGGGTTTGTCCCTCATGCTGTTGAATGGGCAGGGAAATATAGCCCACAAACAACTGTGGATGTCTTGTGTGCTGCATGACTCTCATCACACTTGCCATGTTGCCACTGGCTGATTCTCAATACAGATAGCCAGCAACAACCATTAAATGGATTTTAAGCAGCTTTAGGGGACCTGTAAAAGAAAGAAAAAGGTTTGTGCCCTATGTTATTCTTCATGAAATATTAAAAAGGCCTAAGAATGCAAGGGGAGGTGGTTCCTACTTAGTAGTACTTTAGAAAGTTAGGTCTTGCCTATCCTGCAAGATTCTGTGGATGACTGGAGAACTAGAAGAATGACATCTGGGAAGAGCAACCTGATTAAGAAGGTACATGGATTTTTAACTTGGGCTGTTTACAGCTTATTGGGTTTTGTCTTAGTTTTTGTAGACACATCGCTAAATCCCAAACCTGAGAAAAGCTCTCTTTATTAAAGATTCAACACCACAGGCTCATCCATTAAGAGCAGAGTAAACTCCCAACCCAGATCTGAGTTCTCCAAGAAGTCCTTCAACAAAAACAAAATGAAAGAAGACTTGACATCCCTGCTAGTTAGTGTAAATATCCAGATGGATCTAGACTTATCTGCACACAAACTCATACTGAAATAACTACATTGCTTATTATTCACACCTTTTCTTATTTCAGTTCAAGTCTGTGTGCTTCTATGAAGAATGAGCTATTCTGATTTATCTTTGAAAGGTCCCTGCAACAGGACTGGCCACCGCCTGAGCCACAGGTCACTACAGTCCCCTGCTACCAATTTCTCCCCTCTTCCAGGCCCCTTAATAATCTCACAGTTCACAGGTAGTTAAAGCATTCCTCTCTAGTGGTCCCATTTATTGAGTTCTTACATACTGGCCCTCTAAGCCCCAGTTCAGTCACTCTCTCCCTTCAAGTAGGGAGTCCCTTCTTCACAGAGCTATGTCCCAACTCAAAGTCTCTCAGGCTTTACCTGGGTAGAGCTCAGTCCTCTTCAGCCCCCTCATTTCCAGGCTCTCAAGCCCTTCTCCCAATCAGGGTCTCTAGTATAAGCTAGGCTCAGTACTTCCAGGCTTTACCTGGCTGAAGCTCAGCCTTCCTCAGCCCTCTGGTTCTGGCATCCAGACTTAAACCCTTCTCTTGGGCAGGGTCTCTAGCAGGAGCCTCCTGTTCACTGCAGCTCTTCTCTAGCACCACTCCCTTGTTTGTCTCTGCAGGAGCCTTTCACATCTCTACAACCTCCCTCCCTCCTTCCTTTGCCCATCCCCTCATTGCAGCCACCTGCTGCTCTTTATAGGGCAATCACCTAATCTCTCTCAGGTTTGGCTCATTCTGAAATCAGGGTTGTCTAGCTCCGGCCCTCCAGCCCTTAAAGGGCAAGCCACCCTCTTACAGTCCCCTTTGGTCCCAAGTACATTTCCAATAGGAAAATTATAGGTTCGACGCAGGAGTATGCTGCACAGCACAACCATAACCTAGCAGAACCCCCTTCTGTTTCAGATCACCAAATCTCACAGAGCTTGTACCCCACCAAGCTCCTATTATTATGACTTCCTTCCACTTGCATTGCACTCGCTCCATTGTATCTTATATTATGATCGGCGGTTCTGCTCCTATTACTTGTATTCATAATGCTTTTTGAATTCCTAGTCATCCTGTATATTTCCTTTGCATAGTTTGGTTAGCTGTAGTTTATATGGCTATAAGATAGACAGTTTTCATACCTCACTAGTCAAGCATAAAAGATTACAGTAAATCCTGTTATTTTCACAAGTCTGGTAACAAGTGCATGATGGCATCATCAGTGGTGGAAATAACACATTTATTTCTGCATTCCTGATTTCATCATTTACGTTTATTTCTTCAGGGGAGGAAGGGTGTGGGATGTCACAAACTATCACACTGTGGAGAGTCGTTCTTCTACTTGGAATTCCTAAATGGAGAGACAGTACTGTGTAAATTCAGAAGATTATAGTTAAACCTCTCTAGTATGTATTTACCACTGCCTATTTAATATTTATCTGACTCTCACATAATATTGTCCCGAGGTTTTCTGAGACCACAGGAGATAATTAGTTTTTTGACTGAACGTTAGAAACTGAACATTCTGAATGTTAGTTTCTTCATATGTGATCTCTTTAAGATATTACATCATCCAAGGGTTGAGCCCAATTCTCATATCTATATAAAGACCACTTTACACTGCTCTGGCAGTGAAAAGGGTCTTCAAGTGAGACTAGTATAATTTTCTCCCATATTAAGGCCCCTTTACACTGCCAGAACAGTGTAAAATAGCCTTAATGCAAATTAGATTCAGGCCCTTTATCTTAGAGGTAAGGGGAAGGAAGGGGGAGATGCAAACTTCAAGCAATGTCAGTTCTTCTTTTTCATTTTTCTTCTACATTCATCATATAACCTCTCTGACCAAACACTGATACATTCATATATTTTGGCACACGAGTGACAGTGGGTCTATTCTTTATCAAATGTTTGTCTAAAAGGGCTCCATTTGGCTTTAGAAACAGGTTTTGGTTTCTTAGGCCAGCTTTTTCCCCACTGATTATACTTTCTATGCGTTATTATTTGTGATATACTGGACTTTTTTTAAAGCTGGGTTGCTCATTTGTCAGGTGCAGAACTCCCTCTATTTTGAAATGTTCCAGTGTCATCACATACATGAGTGCTGGGTATTTTATTCCCTAGCCTCTCTGGAAAACAGTAAATGATGCCATTTTGAATAATGTCAATGTAACATAGTGTATCTGAGTTTGGATTCATGGTGTACAACAAGCAGAATGCAAATTATTACCTAACAATTTAATTTCCCCCCAGGAAATAATGCTTTCCGGGTCAGCAGCTGTCATCCAGGAAAGCGTTGTCTCTTCTGGAAGTAAATTTGGGTGCACACGCTTACAGCATTTATGTTCCTCCATTAGCAAAGCTCCAGCAGTCTGTTCCATGCTTTGACAACTCATGCAGTTCTGGGGCTCTCTGAATATTTAAAGGACACAATTACAAAAAGCAGCCCTTGCTCCCATGCAACCGTGCAGACAGTGCATGCAGCATATTTGTGGAGTCCTTGGAGACAAAAGAGATTTTGGTACAGTGGTGACTCATGTTAATTGCACAGCTATCACAAGATAATGTGATAGTATTAACATAAATGACTATATATTACCATTATTCTTAGCACTCAGTATTAAGTGCTGGCATTTACGATGGTGTTCACTCCTTCTAGTTCATAAAACAAAATCTGAAAATATCCTGGTTGAGATTATTTTCTAAGGATTTTGAACAAGCTTCAGAACCGTGTGGGCAATGTAATACCATTAGCTGCCTCTACCCACAAGTAGCAAGTGAGTAACCTGATCTGCTAATTACCCTCAAAGATGAGGACTGGCAGTTTCTGTACTCAGAAAGTGAAGAAATGTCATTTTAAGAGGTATCAGTGTAGTTACCCTCAACAACAGCTAGGCAGTCAGAGTACAACTAATTTACAATATTTGGCCAAACTGCACTGTGCAGACATGCTGACTGTGGTAGCCCACATTAGGTTCCTAAATTCTAACAGCTTTCTTTAAAGGACATGGGAGAAGGTAGGACTAGTGGAGATTCTCTTTGCAATTTTACCTGCTATATGTGCATACTGGGTGTGAAGGTAGCTGGATAGAATGGGAGTCACTGGGTGCTGAGGAAGGTGTGCTGGCTGAGGGACGCTGGAGGTCTGTTAGGTGCTTCCTTCTCCTCCCGCTCCCCCAATCCCTCCTCCGCCCCACAATCAGCTCTGGAGAAAGCTACTCCATGGCATTTTGAAGTGCTGCTTCTGATGGAGCTGAGCACTGTCTGAGGAGGGAGCTGCCGCAGAGTTGGGTAGGGCAAGGGTGAGCAGAGCAATGGAAGTGACCATAGGGAGGGAGCAAAGATGCTTCTTCCCTCCCACTGGATCTTAGCACCCATTGTATATTGAAGTGTGTAGAGCCCAGCAGGTGTGCCCTCATGACTCACCTGTGGGTCACTCCCTGCTAATTGAGAGACATTAGTACAGACCATTGATGGCTAGCACCGGTGGCTTCAGTCCCTAAAACTGTCACTGGTCTCTCAGATTAGCAGTGGTCAAAGAAAACTCAGGAAAACAAATTCTAAGACAAACAAGTAGACAAGGGGCAGGAGTACAGCAAACAATATGATAATTGGCCACATCTTGTTGATACACGCTTTTGGATAAAAGCATTTTTAAACTATCCCTAATTGCCCCTCAGCCATGTTAAATCTCACATTGAAGATTTACCTTCCCAAAATACCACATCATTGGAAATTGTACTGTTTTGAAGGGTCGGTCAAATGTAAATCAAAGAGTTATTAGAACTTCCTGTTTAATAATTGTACATATTTAATATGCAGCTTCGGGTGTCTTCTTTCTCCCCAGGGCTGCAGACTTGGATTGAAATATAATTTTAAAAGGGATGTCTCTCTCCAGAGACAAAGAGGAAGAATTTTATGCAGAATGGCTTCCCTCCTGCCCAGATACCATACAAGAAGATTCAGAGAAGATTTCATTATATCTCACCATGGACTAACTTACAGAACTCTTAACTCCCCTGTATATAATTTTGGAGAATCCACAGGACCCATATGGACTGAAACACTGGACCCTTTTGGTTTAGTTTTGTTTAAAACCCAGAGAGGTAAAAATGTAACATCCTTTGTGTTAATGTATCACATTGCTGCTGACTGAATATGCATGGAGTAACCAATAAATGACCTATTTTAAAAAATAATCAATATCATCTTTAGAAAAATTGGCTGATAGGGGTACAAAACCAGCTGTACTGAATAGTGCAGTTCAGTATCAAGTTCTCAGACAGCATTTTTTTTATTTGGGGGGGGGGTATAAGAATGTTAAATATGGCTATTCCTCTGATAGCCCATCATTAGTTCACCAGACACAAGTTTAGATTCCATTTCAGAGCAGTTGATGCATTCACAGGCACAGAAGTCATCACAACGCAGTATCTGAGAGCAGAATGAACCGAACAGACTTTGGCTAGTGGTCAGAACTTGTATCTTAGAATGCACTGTATAAGTCAAAATGTTCCAATGACACTTCATTAGGAACACTGCCTAGAAGGATTTTTTTTTAATTGCTTGTGGTAGGGCCAGGCATGGTCCAAGCAGCTGGAGTCCCCAACTGAGCAGAGAAACCTTCTCTGAACTTTCAGGTTTATTTTATAGCTTTTTTTTCTAGTGCAACTGAAGTAAACCCCAGGATACCCATGCCACTGTCTGAAATGAAAAATGAAAACTCTGAAGAAAGAACTTGAATAATACTAACTGAAGTTTTTACCTAGGGTTTGTAGCATATTGGATTAAATGATTTCATTGCATATTCCATAGTACAGAAATTAGATAAGAGAAACAGTAATAATAAAAGTATAAAGGGGATAAGTTGTGCATGTGTTTGGATATTTGTGTCTCTTTACTGACTATTTTAGGTTAGATTTCCTTTGATTTTTTATGTCTATTTTTGTACTAATTTTACTAAATTTTTCAAAGGCCTTCAAGACGTAGGGAACTCTAGAAATAAACATTTTTTGTTATTACAGAAATTCAAGGGCCACATGCTCTTCTCCTGTGGCTTCACCTCGGAAATGGAAAATCTGCTCAAAAACCTTTAGTAACTTACTGAATTTCTACCACAAGTCCCTTGCATGTTACCTAGAAATAGCTTGTACTAAGCTGATGCCTATTGCAGATCATGAGATCCGTTTCCACCTATAAATAGGGAAGTCGGCACATCAGAGGCAACTTGACAGACTGGCACAACTCTAATTCTCCTCCCATCCCTAAAGCAGCCAGTGAAAGCCTTGCTGTGCTGAACATTTCTTGGTAAAGAAAGCAAACAGGTGAAAGGCTCGGCTCCATTTGAAAGACGTTAAATGTAAGATCATCCTCATGTTAATATTGCTAATGCCTGCAGTTTCCCAATCAGACCCCTCCCTCTGTTTGATGAAGGGATTGGGTGAATGACTAAATGGATACCCTCTGAACTCCTGTATCAACTTGGGCTGTTGGAGAATGCAGTGAGAAGAAATAGTTATGCCCCCTTGCAATGCTGAGACTTGTTTATGGTATAGGTATATCGTTTTTTTCTCCAATACTGATTATAGCAATTGCAATGTTTTATTATTTTATTTCCTTCCCAGTGCAGGAAGCAGGGCAAGAATTATTTTCATGAGGAAAAGGAGATTTCAGTGAAGATTTACAGTCAAGCAGGTGAAAGTTGGAAAGCAAAATATTCCTCGTTCCTGCTAGTAATGACTCAAGAACCAAAATCAGAGGTGAATAAAGGCTTGTGTGCGATGAGCTTGTTTCGCATGTCCATCTCTGTGGCAATCCACAAAGGCTATTCATTCTTGTAGAGCTCACACTTTTAGCTCTGGAGGTCCTGGGTTCAATCCATGGTGTGTCAAACCACCACATTTGCAAACAAAATAATTAAGATTATGCAGAACAAAACTGTTCCTGGTTTTTCAAAAAAGGAGGGGATGTGAAAGACATTAGCATCCAATCTCCCAAATATTGAATTGAGAATGAAAATGGTGACAAGTCGTTGCAAATAGTAAAGCTAGTATGCGCACCATTACACTGAAGAGGAAAAAGAAGGAAGACTGCCGCGATTAGACGTCTGTATAACCAGACGAACAGCCTGAATTGTAGCAGGCACTGTTTACGAAAATGAAACAAACACAGACCAGTTTGATTCACATGCCTCAATAAGCGCAAAAACATTTGTAACAAGGAGCCTTACAAACTGAGCAATTAGTGCTATGGAAACATCCTGTGCCTTATGAGCTCAATAGGATCGCAAACTCAGTGAAACGCAATGAGCATTCAGTCTCGCCTGGACACCAAAGCAGGCCATGCTTTCAATTCCCTAACAAGCAACAATGGAAAAATCAACAACCAACCATGTCTGACATTCCCACTACAGCTGGCATCTGCAAAACAGGCCAATAAATGCTTGAGCAAAACTATATAAAAGCCAAAGAGAGAGGCCCAGCAAGACCATTCTAAAAACTTTGAGAGTTTCACATCAGACCAATGCAAAAGGTTTACAGAAAAATTGTGTTACATTTTCGTAAGAAAAAGTATAAAAATAACATCAGTAATGGATATCCAGTTACTGGACTATATTGCTAGCAAGTATATCTATCTATCTATTTATAAGCACATCTTACAATATTATAGCATTATGTAAACCTGGGAGCCTCTTTCATATTGTTCTACTCAGAGGTGCGTTTAATTTCATGCAATGGTCTAGTGCAGTGCTTCTCAAACTCTTTCATACTATTAATCATTTCTTAAGATAAAGATCATCTTGAGGATCACCTACCCACTTACATCAGATCCCCATACCTCCCAGCAGCACCTATAGTGCTGGATTACATGAAAATGTGATAAAGGCAATCTTAAGGAGCCAGAGGAAAATAAACTCACTTTCATGCAATAAGTGCAGCTGCTAGGTAATATCTCTGCATTTTGTATTTGTGCTGTTTAATTCCTGTCCATGGGTATAGAGCTTTCCATTTATTACTACTGTTCTCTCCTCGTTACTTGCAATTCCAACTGCTTTTGGTTCTAGCCTCCTAGTTTGGTGTCCTCTGCAGATTTGATCACAATTGAATGAACAGCAGTCACCCGCCATAGAAAGACATGAAGCAGCTGTATAAAAGAAACTTGTTTTTTGCTGTTCTTTATTATAGGTTCAGTTAGTCAAATAAAAGCTCAGAGTTCTAGAACAGACTACAATTAGCAGCAACTATCACTGGTTGAAGAGCGATGTTTGCTTCACCTTAGTGACAGAAGTAATGCTGCAGATCACATGGGAGTGCTCTGTGGATCACCACTGGAGAGCCCAGCTACTGGTCTAATAGAGCAGACTGCTGTATGTCAGAACTTGTGGGTCCAACTCTCAACTCTCCCTCGCCGTGTGGCCTACACATGTTTACCTACCACTCAGGGGTGTTATGAGAATTAATTAATTGGTTGAGAAGAGTTTTAAGATCACATAGTGAAAGGTTTTCATATATGCTAAGTATTATAAATCTATCTCAGTTAAATGCAATCAGTTTACTATTTATCTGCCTTTATTTCCAAACTAGCTTATAGATCCCATGGTAATCATTACATTTTCTGGTTCCAGATTCTTTTGTTTGTAATTATGCAATATTTGTAAATAAATTCAAACATTTAAACTATTTTAAGATGCGTATTGATTTATTTTATGTCCTGGAGCTCTTTACCAAATGGCTACCGGTATCAGCAAACAAAAGAGATGTTTGTTTGGTTTAACGTATCTGATTGGCTAATGGTTTTCATTGCATTTCAAGGTTATATTTTTTTTTAATTATATGCTAGGCATAATCCCAAGCAGCATCACTCATTCTGGCTCCCGAAAAAAATCAGTGTCATGACATTGACTGGTGCTGCAAAAATTTCATCACCAGAAGATGGCACTTGCTATATGTGTTATAACACTCCTGAAACAATGAAGTTGTACAGTCTGCTGTAAGAGTTTTAAGAGACCTGTTAAATCACTGATTTCATCCCATTCCCAGTCCAGGATTTAATCCCTAGATAGAGGATATATAAGACATTAAACTGATAATACACTGGACTCCCACTGGTTTCTATGGGAACAGAACTGGGCCCTTGATCTTAGGCAAAAGGACAAGCTGAAGCGCTATTTAATTTGATACAACCCATACATTTGTATGGAAGAGTATTTCTATTATTCTCTCTCATCCATAGTTACTAGAGCTGGTCAAAATTTTCATTCAAAGCTTTTTTCCAAAGAAAATGGCCTTTTTTCAAAACTGAAAACTTTCACAAGAGTCTTTTAATTTTATTTAAAAAAAATACCACTCTGTTTTTCCTCCCACACCAAAATATCTGAATGTTGACATTTTGAATTTTTGTATTTCCTCCTTTTCCTTTCTGCCAATTATGCCAGTAGAATGAAAGATGTTTGTTTTTAGGGTTTTTTCCCCTTTTTCCCTTTTCTTTTTTCCCTGCTATCTGTAACTTTTCAAAACTTCCTCTACTTTGGAGCAGTTGGAATGGCAAAAGGAAGAAAAAGGCAAACGAAAAGAAGAAAGGAAATTGAAAAAACCTGGACATCATTTATTTTATTGCAGAGGGGGGGAAATAAAGGAGAAAAGCTCTAGGTGGTAACTTTCATTTGGTACTTAAAGAGTTTTAAATAGTTTGTGTATTATAGCAGGTTCCTAGCAGTGCCCACTTACACCTGTAAAATAGTTTCCATTCTAACCTCACATTTCCACATGCTCATGACTCCCCGAAACATCAGTCTTTTGGGGTGAATTTTCCTTGTGAAGAGTATGCCCTTGGGGCTCCCTAAGCCTAAGGGTTCATGGCTGCAGAAGAAGGAGATAAAGATAGGGAAGTGTGGCTGTATGTGATATCATCCCCATGACAAACCCATGAGAAACTATGGGAATTAATGCCAAACCTGCTAGCACTAATTCCTGAAGATCCCCACATGTCAGCAAACCCACTCAGTAGAGGAAAGACCATATGCAGGTCAGGAAGTTTTGGCAACATGACTCCAGCTGGGTGCTGTCAGGAGGAAAGAGAGGGGACAGAAACTAACACACAGCCCTCAGGGAATATCATGAGGACTATGAGATTTTTCTATAAGGAGATCCATATGCTTGAGTGATGCATGAATAACCATACTTCTTGCTCACTTTCTAGGGAGGCAAACCCCATCCATCTGGGACAATCTGTACCATACCACATGTCCTAATGTCAGAATTTTCGTACCTTGTTACATTCTGAGCAAAGGTAGCAAGAAGTAAAGAATGAGGAGAGTATCAATTGGCTTCCAGAAAGTCTTTGGGGACTTGTGCAGGTAGTATGCACTAACTTTCCTATCAGGGGGGTATATTTTTGTAAGGCCCTGTTAAGCTGGAGTCCAAGAGTTGGCTGAGTCATGACTCCCTCTTTGCTTTCAGAGAGCTCTAGAGGAGAAGGCGAAAATTTGGGCCTGATTCTCCCACTGCTCACATGTGGCATAGCCATTTATAACTAAGTAAAGTGAGGTTTGCAATGCTAATAAGTACGGATACGATTTTGTCACTGTAAAATTAGGCAAAATTCATGGAACAGTCATGGTAAAAATGTACAAAATGAGGGTTTGGTCACAGCCACAAATAATGTGTAACAATTTAACAATAAAGTATTACAGTGTAATGTACAGGTGTTGACACTGACCCAAAGGCTGGGTGGCCTGCTGAGGTGAGTCGGGGTGGAGGTGGCATTCCCTCCCCAACTCCCGCTGCCCAGGGCTGAAGCCGCCCCCCGCTGCCCAGGACTGACGCCCAAACCCAAACCCTGCCGCTGGGACTGAAGCTGAAGCCCGAGCCCTGCCACCTGGGGTTGAAGCACAAGCCTCACTGCCTGGGGGTGAAGCCCGAACTCACAGACATCTCTTAAAATCATGGACTCTGTGACCCCTGTGACAGAATCATAGCCTTGCTAATAAGTGATTGCAGAATTTGGATTGGTAGCATTTTACACCTACGTGGCACTTGCGGTGCACAGGTGTAAATGACTACACACGGTGTCAGGCAGGAAAGAATCAGGTTCAGAGTTTGTGTTAGAGGAGAACCCTGGGAAAAGTGCACACTCTACCAGGGAGTTCCTGGGCCCAGAACTTTCTGTTACCTCAGTATAAATCAGGAGTAACTCTGGACCCAGTTCCCCACTACCTTGCACCTTATACATTTGTCTACACCTTGACAAAGATGAATGGAAAGTGGATCTGCAACAAAGCCAGACTAGAATGCTAGTGTTTCACACCCACTGTGCATAGGCATAAATAACTGGACCAAGTGCAAGGCAGTGAAGAATCAACCCCAATGGAATTAAAATGATGTAAAAGAAGGAAAGGAAAATTGTGCAACATCTCTTCAGACAAATAGAGACTCTCTCTCCTTCCTCCAGCAGTGGCAGCCACTTGGGGACAAGAAGCAGCTCTTTGGTGAAGCTGTTTCCTGTCAGCTATTAAGGATCAGCTTTTAGAGACTCATCACCTACAAACTGGGTTTATATCAGCCATAGAGTAGGAAGGCACAAATAACTAAATTTCCTGTAATGATGACTTTTGCTAAACCAAATTTTATGGAATTACTGAGGAATAAGATATATTTTCATGGGATCATTTTAATCAAGATGAACTTTGCGTACAGCATGCTGTTTGTGAATACACTTAACTAAGAACACTAAAGTGTTCTCCCACTCAAAAACCAGTGGGAGAACACTTTAG